TTATTAATCAAGAGTTAACATTAACCTTGTATCATCAACCGGCAAGCCAACCCGTTAGACTGTCAACCCCCAAACTCCTAAGCCCTAAACCCTTCAGGAACCCTCCAAAGGAACCCAATCCTCTTGATTATAGCCCTTAAATACTCCCTTCCCTCACGGATCGCGTTCCTGCAGGAAGCAGCCCTCGACCCAGCCTCAGAGGCAATGCCGGCTGCCAAGAACAGCAAGGCTGCAGCTTTTGGGGGCTCTTTTGCCGCTTTTAGGGTTCAAGGGTTTAGGGTTGAGGCTTTAGGGCTGTTAGAGTTCATGGTTTAGGCTTGAGGGTTGAGGGTTTAAGGGTTGAGGAATTTAGGGTTTTGAGTTTTGGGTTTTTGGGTTTAAGCTTTAGGGTGTAGGTTTAGGGCTCCCTCCAGGGCTTACGGGATGGAGGGATAGGAGTTTTAGGCTTTGCGGGTTTAGGTATGTTAGCAGCTGCAGAGTCGAGGGAATGGGGATAAAACTCTGTGGTCTTATTTAGGTACTTCTCTAAATTAGTTAGGGTCCCTGTTAGGGTCCTCTTTATAAGGGTGTCGTACTATGTTTGAGATCTAAGACGGACCCTAGTTTAGAGAACTACCCATATACGGATAAGAATTGGGGCCTTCATACTCAGCAATACGGTTTGCAGGCACACTATAGTCTAGTGCTATAAACATTATAAGTGTTTGTTTTTTTTGGTGGTTTTGGCGGGTGAGGGCTTAGGTTTGTGGCTTCAGGCTGTAGGGTTTGGAGATGAGGTTTGGGGGTTTAGGGATCCGGGATAGAGCTGAGGGTTGCAAGCAGGGTTGATGGTTTGGTGATAGTTTAGGGTCTAGGGTTTTAGGGTATTGACAGACGCTTAGAGTCTTGTCACAAAGGGTTCGGGGTTCAGGGTGAGCCGGCATTTCGGGTATTTTTCGGGCGGTACTGTAGTCGGTTCATTCACAGGAATGCTGGGCTTGTTGGCTGGAGTGTCCTTGAGATATTCACGTCAAGGAATTGGACGAAAGGCTAATCCAGAACAGGCATGTCCTGTGGCTTACCCACTGCATTCAGTAGTTCATAGTGCAGGGACCCAGCCCCTCCTAACAGCCAAGCTATCTGACAATCTTCACGCCCAAAGCACAAACACTAGGCCCGAAGTCTCAAACTCTGAACCCTAAATGCGGTCAAATCCCAAACCCGAAACCGCAGAGCACAACCCCCCCCCAAAACACATCCTAAGACAGTCTAAATCCCAACCTCGAAACCCTACATCCCAAGTGGGGCGTGCTGATTTAGTGTATGCCCGTCTTTGGGTAGGCGCGCTATGGAGAACGGGGCGTCATTGCACTTTAAAAAGGTCCCAAACGGAAGAACTCCCAGATGCCGGTGGCAGGTAGCCCAGGCGATCGAGGCTAGTCGTGGCCAGGGAGATGCATCGAAGGAGCGCACAGCAGTGACGGTTTAGGGTTTAGGGTTTAAGGTTTAGGGTTTAGGGTTTAGGATTTAAGGTTTGGGGTTTAGGGTTTAGGGTTTAATGGGGGTTGTCAAAACTATGGGTCCCTTTTTGGGTACCCTAAATATTAGGTGCCGTATTATATTAAGGACCCAAAAAGGGACCCTACTTTGGAGAACTACCCACATGAAATTTAGGACCCAGGACATCGAGGAAGCCTTCAGAACTTTGGGTGCTGATCAGAGCTTTACAGTAGGGTTCTGGACTGAAGGTTTAGTGCTTTGGGGTATTGGGGTTTAGGGCTTTACGACTTAGAATTTAGGGTTCAGGATTTAGAGTAAAAAAACCTCAAAGCCCAGAGAAGCAGTCAGTGTGGGTGCCTGTTGTGGCTTGTAAGTGAGAAGAAGTAAATGAAACGGAATGAAACAAATCGAAGGGAAAGGAAAGGAGAGGACATGACGCCATGCATATGTGAATGGAAGGAAGGAGCGAGGAACGAACGACTGATTGAATGTATGACGGTGCATGCACACGTATGCACATATATGCTTATGCAATATGTCAATGTATCTCTTTATGTACGCACGCATGGATGTATGTGTGTGTATATATATATATGTATATGTCTGTCTGTCTGTCTGTCTGTCTGTCTGTCCAAACCTCGCACCGCAGGACACGAAGCCAGGCGACAAGAAGGAGGTCCGTTTTGTTTGCCTTCGGTTCTAAGTAGGATAACTACAGTTGCAAAAGTTACGACCCATAGTCGGAGACTTACAACCCCTAAACCCTAACCCCTAACCACAAACCCCAAACCCCAAACCCCATTAGAACGTCGTTCTCTTGTCGTTCCAGCCTAGCCCTAAGGGTCCATGTACCCAAATGATATATACGTTGGCCTCAGAGTAGTGTGTGTATATATATATATACATAGGTACTTTAGGGCCCAACATGTATATATATATATATATACACACACACATACATGGACCCTTAGGGTCAGTAAATGCTTAGGCTGCCTTCTCAGGTCGATTTTCTGGGACTGTTTGTTCCGAATGAGCAGGATGCTTCAAGCGTCGTCGGGCCACAGTCGCATCCGTAATTTGTAGAGTCAGTCTTGCCACCCACTGACCACCGGCTTCCTCTGTTCTCGTCTTATGAGGCTTCTTTGGGCCTCTGAACCACTAAGGTTGTCGTTGCATGTGTTTGGGAGTGTAGGCAAGCTTGACAGGCGGACAGAGGAGGGCATCTCCGAATGCGGCGCTGTTTTCGGGGTTTTTCTGCTTCCCGCTTGGGTGCGGACGCCTGCTTGATAAACCGTATCCTGTCTACAATCCTTGTACTATCTAAGGCCGTAGGGGTTCGAATGTTAAATCTTAAGACAAATTGAGACCCCGGAAGACAGGCTTACTCAAGAGTTTACATGTGGAAAACCTTTGGAAGCCCTTTTAAAACACCCGAATATGAAGCCCTTTACGACTCAAAGAAGAACCTTATTAATCAGGGGTCTACATTGTCAGAACAGCTTCCTCTCCGCCGGCAAATTCGCAGGAAATCTCGAAAGAAGACTCCGCAGTTTCAGAGAAGGCTTCGAGCCCTGAGAAGCAGGCCCCCGCCCCGTAGGGTTGAGGCTTAGGGCCCATATAGGCTTTAGGGCTTCGGGTTGCGGATTCTTTGTAGCTTAGTTAGGGTTTAGGATTTGCGGGCTATTCAGTTTTTCGATCTGCTGATTGAGTGATAGTTCTGGTCTGATAATATATGTTTCGCAGTGCACCGAGATCGGAGACACCGTTTAAAATGTTGATGTGTGTAATTACCATAAGAAAGGTGCACGTATCCCTGGCGATAGTCATCCTGCTTCTCGCTTGGAATTTTTAACAGCAGGCCTCCACACATAGTCAATCGCGGGCCCTGGATCTGGGTATCGTTGAACTCCTGTATCGCGGCGGGTAGTTTCCGAGTTCTCGGACTGGTGTCACGACTTGCACGTGTGTGTGTGTGTGTGCATGCATGCATGTACACACATCGGGATGTATGTATGTATGCATGCATGCATGCATGTATGTATGTATGAACGCGTGTACGTCTGCATGTATTTACCAAGCAAGAAGAAGGCTCTGCTCGGCAAGGGCGGAAAATTCCCGGATACCAGCGGTGCATCCACTTGGAAGCCGTCTTTTTCTGGCCTCGAGCCGGCGACGTTTTTCGGCATGCCAAGGGAGCACTATGCCGAACTGATTCATGCCTTGAACATGGGCGTCATCATCAACACCGCAGAGACTGACGGCCTGCTGGCATGGCAGTGCTTGCTGTGGAAGAGACCCTGCGTGTCCATGTGCCACGGCTGAGCCCGTATCCCTCCTCACTCTCGTGGAGTGAAATGACAAATCCCAAGTCCTCTATCTATCCCTAACCCCCCAGGTACCTACTATATATGGCCCTAGGGCCTCTAGTACCCTATATAGTAGGTACGTGGGGGGGTTAGGGTATGAGGCTAAGATGTGCCTCGGCTGCATGGTGAGTTGTATGGCCTGTACCTGTGCCTCTGATTAGATGCCCCAAACTCCTGTTTGAGTATCCTGTTGCATCATAAACAGGCCTTTGTGCCCAATCATGAACCATACCCTATGCTTCTAAGGACTAGACCCCTTTGAAGGACCCAATAAGAAGGTCCCTGGAAGCATAGGGATAATGAAGCCAGAGCTTCTTTTGCATCGCTGTAGCCGCCAGGAAGCTCCGAAAGAAGATGCCAAGGAGGAAGCTAAGGATTCTGCTTAGCTTGGGTGCTCTTCATACAAGGGTTGCTGGCGCTTTGCACTATGTTCTGATACTTTCTTGATGATTTCGGCGATGAGTGTACGGGGTTGTGCCTTATATTACCGGTGCTTGTGGGCTAAGCACTCCGTAGCCTGACCACGATGTCTCTGTCTGTCTGCGTCTTACGCCGAGAGGGGGCGGGGCACTGATAGGCATTGTTGGTTGCAGGCTGCCGATTTTGAGCCTGAGGAGCCCGACACGCTGAAGTATGTTTGTTGAACGATCATGATTCTAAACCCTACAAGCCCTGAGGCCCTAAAATCCTTAAGCCTTGAAACTCAAAAACTCCAAACCCTCAAAACGAACTTCGAAACCCTCAAACTCCAAACCCTCATCCCAAAACCCGAAGCCCTAATGCAACGGCCGTATTAATTAACTGTCCTCTCTCTCTCTCTCTATATATATATATATAGATATATACGGGGGTGGTTCCGTATTATAGCTACAGTAGAATATACTCCAAAACCCTATTCTAATTGTTAAGGCTTCTACATTAAACCCCAGAACCCTCAACCCCAAACCGTTAAGCCTCGTTTCGAAGGAGAACTCCAAGGAGGATGAAACGGAGGGCTCCAAAGAGGCGGGCGCCGACATGCTCGGTGTTGTGGTCTAGGGCTTTAGGGTTTTGGAGTTTTGGGAGTTTTGGGGCTTTAGGGTGTTGGGGTCTTCTGGTGTAAGTTAGGGTTTAGGGTTTTGTAGGGTTTAGGGGTTTACGGTTTCAGGGGTTCAGGGTTTTGGGGTTTAGAGCTTTAGAGTTTCAGGGCGTTGCGGGTTTAGGGTGTAGTGTTTCAGGGTTTAATTTCTTTTTGGCTACCGGCTTTATTAGGTTTGTGTTTCTGATTTCGTAGAGGCGTCGGTGATCGTTTTTTTTTTGGGGGGTGGGCGGTCGCATGACTATTGTTGGCTCGTTTCCGTTTTGCCTCGGTGGGTCAGGCTAAAGTTCCCTAAGCCCTGATTAAACGACAGGGCTTTGCTCAGGTTCTCAAAGTCTCGGGTGTTGGAGTAAAAGGGATGCCATAAGGGCTATAAGAGTTCTACAGTACAAGGGCCTTGAGAATTAGCATGGGGTTTTTTGGGGTATAATACTCTATAATCATACTAGGGGACCCCGAGAGAGTATTAATTCTGTAGGCCTCCAGATTAGCGGATTTGTTGGGCTCCTGAGTAAAAGGTTGCAGGGATAGGGCGTAGGGTGTAGTGGCTGTAGTGTAGGGCTAGCATAGGACCCACCCTGGATCCTAACGCCACTGCTCCCCAAAACAGTAGACCAATCATCTCGACAAAAAACGGTATAGGGTTTACGGTTTGGAGGTTTATCGTTTAGACTTAAACTGGCTGAACACGCGAACCCTGAATCCCTGAGCTGCAAACCGCCACTGGGTGCACTGTGTGAGGCTGCCAAGGACAACACGAAGAAGGAGGAGACATGTCAGTTGTGAGTCGTCAGATTTTGCCGGTTTGGCTGTGGACACCTTTGCAGTTCAAGGAACTAAAGCCCTAAACCCCAAACCGGGCTCTAAGCATGGGTTTAGAGGGTGCAGGGAAATTGGACCCCATCTTGTGGCGAGGCCCAGTCTTGATTTTCTAAGTACCTCAAGGGTAGGACTCCTGCAGCCTACCTTAATTACCATAACCTCGCTTTTTCTGCAGGTTCTTAGCTACAAAAACATTGGTCACGTAGGTTTTGTGTAGTGTAGGGTAAGCCTTAAGCCCGAAATAACCTATGAGTCCTACGGTTGATGATACAAATCCTGCATTACCCAGAATAAGGAATATACCTAAATTCCCACAGTTTAGGGTCCTTAAGGTAATGCAGGAATTATATCGTCAACAGTATCCTTGGCCTGTATCGCTTCGCCGAAGCACTCGACCCGACGCCCTGAGCTCCCAAACCTCAACTTAACCCCAAGCAGCCTACCTCTCCAAGGATATTTTTTGACATAAGGAACTGAGAAGAAGAAGAACCTCAAAATGTAGGTTTTCTAGGATTCAGCTTAAGGGAAGCCTACTTGTACATCTCTAAATGCCTTTTAAATACCTTAAACCCAAGCTCCGGAATGCCCAAAGGGCCGAAGGCCCTCAATCCTAACCCCAAAACCCCTTGCGTAAGACATTCAAGCCCCTATCAGCTCTAAGCCCTACACCGCCTCAAACCCTAAACCCTAAATCCTGTGTACTATAGGCGCCTTAATACAGTAGAATAGGGTCTTGGGTAATATTAAACTACAAGTCTAATAAGGATAGTATCGCATCGCAGTCTTCATATAGTTGTTTACGATGTTACTTTCAAAAAATTGCGACAAAACCCTGTTCTCTAGAGAACTTGGGTTCACACCCTGTGAAAAACCCTTAGACCTAAATCCTATAAGAATCCCTTACAGGAAGCCGTTATCATTGATCCCTAATTCTTCAATTCCCAAAGCCGCTTGCGCTGGGAGGATACTAGCCAGGATGCGAAGGCTCTGCTCTGAGACCCCAGTTTGCGCGCCTTAAACTTTATCACCCTCAGCCCTATAAACCCTAAACTCCCTAAACCCTAAACCCCTTAGGGTCCATGTACCCGAACAGTAGGTACTTTGGCTCTAAAGCAGGCCCCTTTGGGTAGCAAACCTTGAGGGTTGAGGCTTTACGGTTTAGGGCTTAGGGCACTAGAACCACGACACTCGCCGAAACCCGGAAGCCTGACCCAACCCAAAGCCCAACACCCCCAAACCCTAAAACCCCGAAACCTGTTTAGGGTTTAGGGTAACTCAAGACCCGCAGTCCTTGCAACCTGAACCAAAAACCGGAGTTGTGCAGGGGGGGTTTGGAGTTTGTGTCGTTGCTTTTTCGGGGGCCGGGCGGTGGGGGGGGGGTCCAGGACTTGAGGTTGATCTTTAGTCTGACGTAGGGGCCTCTTAAAGTAATTAGGATAGGGTTTTTTGGGGGGGGTTCCTCATTATACTTAGAGTATAATATACCCCGAACCCTATTCTAATTGTTAAGGCCCCTATAGTAGTAGTTTGAGCATGTGGGGTATTTCTGCTAGGGTTTAGGCATTACTTAGGATACAAAAAGTTAGGGTTCGGGTTCTGATTGAGGGCCCTTCCCACGACCACGATGACGAGTTGCGCAGCATTACGGTCGCCGTGCGAGTGGCAATCCAAGACTACTAAACCCCTAAACCGCTAAACCCTAAACCCCTATAACCCCTATGACCCTAAACCCTATCTAAGTTGAAGACGTCTGCCCGCTTCTCCGAAGACAGCTGCAGCTGCTGATGCTGTAAACTGGGTGTCCGTGGAGTACGGGGGCGCACCCGGACCGGGCGTTTAGGTTTCGGATTTAGGGAGGGTTCAGGATTTAGGATTCAGGATTCAGGATTTATTGGATTTATAGGATCTACGATTTAGGACTTAGGATTTAGGATCTAGAGGTAGTGTAGGCGAAATTAAAAATAAAGATACCCTATAAACCCTAATGGAGTATAGTTTGGGTGGCCGGGTGGGTTGACGAGCAACGCGAACGCGCAGCCCGGGGTGTTTCACACCCGCGCTCCGCTGACACACCCTAAACCCTAAACCCCAAGCCTTAAACCCGAAACCCTAAACCCGAAACCCTACACCCCAAGCCCTTCAAACAAAAAAACCCTGTGAGCCGCTTTCGGCAGACGGAAAAGTCACCACAACTTGAAACAAAAAACCTAAACCCCAAACCGAAACCCCAAACCCGAAACCCGTTCCCTTGCGGAACCTTACCTATAGTCTCCATTGTAGTTCCTTTTTTTGGTTTAACCAATATTATATTAAGGATCCTATAAGGTAACCCCAAAAAAGAACTGCAATGGGGACTATAGGTAAATCTGAGCGAAGGCTGCTGCCGTCAACGGCTCCGCGCCCAAAGCGGGCGGCCGACTTTCAGGCGACACTCGAGGTTTTCATGTTTAGGGTTCAGGCTCTAGGGGCTTTAGGGCTTTAGGGTTTAGGGTTTAGGGTTTTCATGTTTAGAGTTCGGGGGTTTAGTGGTTTAAGGCTTCGGCTTTAGGGTTTGGGGTCTCGTGGTTTAGGGTGTCGGGTTCAGGATTGAGGGTGAGGGCTGTCCGAAGCAGCATTGTTAGTTGTGAGGTTTTATGAGGTTTATGCTAGAGCTGTGAAAAGATTTCTGCTAGGTTTGAAAAGGGTTTAGGGGCTGTGGCCTGGAGAGACCATTTCGTCTCAATTTAGGAAGGGTTCTACCTCCAGTTGCGTGGGGTTTAGGGTTTAGGGTAGAGGGTTCCTTTTCCAATGATTTTGGGGGGTACACCCTGAACCCTAAACCCCTAAACCCCTAAACCCTAAACCCCTAAACCCTAAACCCTAAAACCCTAAAGCCCTAAACCCTAAACCCCATAAACCGTAAAACCCTAAAACCCTAAGCCCTAAACCGTGGTCACTCCCGGAACCTGTATTAATGGCTTCTTGTTGGATGAAAAGCGAAGCTAAACAAACGCACTAATCACGTTTCAGGCTCTTTGTGGGAGTTGGAGGTTTGGGAGTGTCCCTAAACCCTAAACCCTAAACCGTGGCTTGAGGGGCAAGGTTAGGGTTTAGGGCCGAGGCTGATCGCCTGTCGGGTTCGGGAGTTCAAAGCTGCTCATGTTGAGGATGAAGATTCTGCAACAACAGGGTTTAGCAAATTCACTGCTTAGTGTCTACAGTGTAGCAAAGATAGTTGCGGGTATAAGCAGGAGGGTCTAGGGTCTTGGTGTTAGGGGGTTCCTAAACCCCAAGCTCTAAACACATAGCTCTAAACCGGAGGTGTTAGCGCTAGGTTCATTCGGGTCGCCAGGCTAGGTGCATTTCAGTTGGCACGAGGATTCTTATCGGGCCGTGCAGTTTCGCGAAGGTCGGGATCATGGGCTTGATTGGGCTTGTTGGTCTTTCTAGCCATTTACTTTAAACAAGCCTAAGCAGTTTAGGACCTAGGGCCTATCAGACTGCTTCCTTCGGGCTTGCACGCTTTATATAGGCTCCGCGGCTGATATCCCACTCTCCAGCAGAAGGTTCGTTGTTATCAAAGAGTGGTTCTTATGTATATATACATACATACATACATACATACATACATACATATATACATACATACATACATACATACATACATACATACATACATACATCCGTACGTACATACCTACATACATACATACATACATACATACATACATACATATACATATAACCTATATATCCGAAACAGAACCTTTGAAGCGCCTACCTAGCCTAGGAGCTGTTTTCAGGCCTCAGCATCTGGCTAGGTTGGAACATGGACCGTGGACCCCTAGGGTTACGAGACACGATAGTATAAGCACTGGAGCTTAATATAGGGGCCTAAATCACTACCTATACTATTTTGTGGGTTCCTGATTATAGCTATAGGAAAATACACCACAAAACCCTAGTCTAATCATTAGGGGCCCTACATTGCTTCGCCTTCACATTGCCGTATTACGGATATCCTCGAAACCCAAGACCAGATTTTCCGAGTGGTTTGTGCCACCCTGAACCCTCCCTTAAAAGAACCGTAACTAACAAAACCTATTTTTTGTAGGTTCTTTTTATAAGCCCTAATGCAACCTACTTTTTCGTGGGTTCGTACTACAAACCCTAATACAGAATTTGTTCACCCTGCCAAAAAAGTTGGCTTTGGTAGTTCAGGGTAAGCCCCAAACCCTAATCGAACCCAAACGCATAGCCGAACCCCTATAGATGCCTTTCAAGGAGCCCTGATAGGAACCCCTCTATAGGACGTGAGCCGAACCCTTTCGGCCCTCCTCCTCCTGGTCGGTTTTCTCGGAAGAGATCACAGCTGAGGGTGTAGGGGTTAGGGTTTAGGGTATCAGAATATAACAGTATGTACCGAAAGCCTGTGGTAATATCAAAAAAGAAGAGCAGCTTCTATTCGTAGACCTTGGGGGCAGAGGAAATGGAGTCGTTTCCTCCCGCCTTCCAGCGACTCCTCTGATCATGCTGCGCGTGTTCTGGGTGTCGGGAGAAGAGCTGGGATCTGTTCCGCTGCATTTGGCACCTGACGGAAGGAGTCTGCTCCCGAAACCCTAAACAGGTTTAGGGATTAGGGGTTAGGGGTTTAGGGTTTAGGGTTTTAAAACTCAAGACACCCTAAAGCCCCAAAAATTTACACTATGGAAGCTCTGAGTACTTCAGTCGTTCCTTGCTACAGTTTGTCTATATTAATCATATTATTCTTTAGGGTTCCTTATTGCAGTTATACTATATTCGTCTGCAGAAGCCCTAAGACCCACGGATGTCTTCCCTGACATTCGACTCCCTAAACTCCTAAACCCCTAAACCCTAAAAATCCCCGACCCTAAACCCCAAACCCCCTAAGCCCTAAATTCTAACAGTTCTAAGTTCTATAAACCCTAAACCCCTGGACCCTAAACCCTGGACCCGAAACTTGACGGAAGGAGTTTGAAACGTCAGCTTCAAGGGCTCTGCGGGCTTCCAAGATTCAGGCTGAGCACAGACTCAGAGCACCCTATAGCGGTTTAGGGCTTAGGGTTTAGGGTATAGGCCCTAAACCCTAAGCTTATAGCGGTTTAGGGCTTAGGGTTTAGGGTATAGGCCCTAAGCCCTAAGCCATAAAGCCCAAAACCCTAAACTCTCAACCGGTGAAAGCAAGAACAAGCCCCATACACCCTGTGAGCCCGATTAAAGACACCATGTAACAACCGTAGACACTCCTTCTACAAGCTTACGACAATCGATTACGACTAAGACCACTCTAGACCTTAAGCCCTACACCCAACTCAGAACAAGGCTGAGGCTCATGCATGGGCTTGTTGAGCTGGAAGATCATGCAGCGATCAAGTCGCCCATGGACCTGGAGCTGGTTGTCTTGCCGTTCCTAGGTCTTTCACTGATGGGGTTGAGTACGTTTCACAGAATGGTTATGGCTGGGGTCTAGCAACACTTCATGGGAGGTTTTAAAGTTCCCACACCTATTTCAGTTTTGTTTTTTTGTGCATGTCATGTTTTAGGTCTTTGTTTTAAGATTTTCCAGGTCCCCCACTCATTTACCAGCATCTTGTTTCGAACCCTTTGTGTTAAGGTTGGGGTTTGTGTCTGCAGAACGAACGATGATGCCCGAGTGTTACGGGATCACTACGGAACTTAATACGAAGCCGTTTAAAGGTCACACCGAAAAGACGTGTACAACTTAGGTTATTGTGTTGAACCCTATAAAAGCTTTTTAAATAAAAACCAATTGACTTATTCTCAGAAACAACCAAGCGGCCCATAGAAAGCCAAGGTTTATTGATGCTAATTACCCTAAACCCTAAACCCCCGAAAAAGCCGAGGTTTATTGATGCTACCCTAAGCCCTAAACCCCTCAACCCAAATAAATCGAGCTGTATTGATGCTACCCTACACCCTAAACGCCAAAAATCCGAGGTTTATTGATGCTACCATACACCCTAAACCCAAAAAAGCCGAGGTTTATTGATGCTACCCTAAACCCGAAACCCCAACAAATCCGAGGTTCATTGATGCCACTTCGCAGCAGCTCTTCGAGCTGACATCGGCTGCAGAAAGTGGCGAGGCCTCTCGCGTCGAAGAGTTGCTGCAGAGACCCCAGGACCCGAACCTGGGCTCCTGCTTGGAAACGGTAGCTTACAAGTTTAGGGATGTGTATATACATATACATGTTTATATCTTTGCGTATATACATGTGTATGTATATGTATATGTGTAGACATATATATATATATATGTATATTTATCGCCAGAGAGGGAGCGAGTTAACTTGTTAAGCAACAGTTTGTTTGTGTGTGGGTATGTGCCTGTCCTGTATGTATGTGTGTATATATATATATATACATACCTACTCTGCGTGTTGAACATACGTGTGTGATGTGGTATATGATGGTGTATGGTAAATAAATGTGTTTTCCCTTCTGGCTGTAAGCTACTTAAGCCGCTTGTAGAGCCCTTTAAAGTAACACAGAACCCTTGGGCCCAAAGCCGAAACTTTGAATCCTGGAGCATTATAAACCCTTAGACCCTAGAGCTTAAGCCCTATAAATCCTATAAGCCATCCTAAACCAAAAAGCGAGACCCAGGAACTCACCGGACGGCCTATGCAGAATTCCGCTCATCAGCGCGGCTGTGGAGGGCCGCGCGGATGTGGTCCGCTTGCTTCTGGAAGCCAGGGCCGACTGCGAGGCTCCTCGGCTCTAGGGTTGCCTTTAAGGGCACTCTATATATATATATATAGTTCTATAAGGGTACGATATATAGGGTTCTATAATAGGGATCTAAGGATCCTCCCAAGTAGGGTTTCTGGTACCGTGTTACAGAGAGGAGTTTGATGAAAACCTTCTCACCATGAGGCATAAAAGGGTTTGAGGTACGAGGCTATGGAGTTGAAGACTTAGAGTTTGGGTTTAGGGTTGAGGGCTTAGGGCTCATGTAGGCTTTCGGCATCTTTAGGCATAAGGGTTTGGTGCTTTCTGGTTCAGTGCTTTTGGGACGCCAATGCCACTGAGGCGAGGGACGATGAGGGCGCCACGGCTCTCCTTTGTGCCTGTAATCATCATCATCTGGAAGTGATGAAGTTGCTGGTGCCTTAGACACCAAATGACCCACTTAAAAAAGTTCAAAGATATAAAGTATAAAGGCCCTATACCTTTACCAAGCGATGAAGTCCTATGTGGTTTCAAATATACGAGGTATAGAGGCCCTATACCTTGATTAAGCTATGACCTTGTGAGCTCCGTTAGAGTGCGTCCGGCTCTGAAGGTGGGGGACGGCGTTGACACCAATGCAGCGGATGCGGATGGAACTACAGCGCTTCATATAGCATCTCTGCAAGATGCCGTGGACTTGGTGCGTTTACTGCTGGATGCAGGTGCCGACGTAGGCACTTCTGACAACGAGGGACTCACAGCTCTTCACTATGCATCCTTGGAAGGTTCATCAAACGTGGCCAGCATTCTCCTGGATGCTTCCGTTGATCCAAGCGCCCGAGACATGAGTGGCATGACGGCTTTGCATGTGGCATGCGAGCGGAACTTTTTCGAGCTGGCTAGCCTGCTCCTGGGGCGCAGCACCACCGCAAAGGATGCAAGTGACCAGGAGGGTTGCGCCCGAATATCCTCAAAGCTCGAGGTTGACAAATAGCCCCATCCTCGGGGTCGAAGATCTGTCTATAACTCTAAGGTGTACTTTGGGCTGCTAGGAGCCCAAGGGTTGCGTCTTTCGTTGGGCCAAACTGTTGATGGTGTAAATGCTGCATTACCTTAAGGATCCTAAACTGTGGGTAATGCAGGGTTTCTATTATCAACAGTAGGTCTATGGTGAAAGAAAAGTCGGACGGGCGGACAGCAGTCCAGTTGGCTTCCTGGAATGGCAACGGCTCTTTGGTTTAGGGTTTAGGGTTCTCTTGGGTAGAAGAGCAGATGCTGGCCTCAGAGACAGCATTGGCTACACAGCACTTCATACCGCTTCGGAGCGATTTGGTCAAAGTTAGGGATCTTTCTTTGTGGTTTCGGCGGTTTGAATATTTTGAGAGAGGGACCCCAAACCAGATCTCTTTCCCTTCCTTCCTAACAGACCCAGGAGAACTGCTGGCTTGCTGTTGGAAGCGGGGGTTGCTGCGGACGTCAATGGGGCGACGGCTCTCCATGTGGCAGCTTTGGGCGTGAACCGATCAGAAGCCACGGCAGCACACCTACTTGGAGGTTCATGGGTAGTTATAAGTGGGGTTATAAGTAGGGTAACTATCCATATTAGGGAACTTATAACCCTACTTATAACTACCCATGAACCTCCAAGTACCCGTCCTGCGCTTACTAGTGCAGGCCGGTGCTGAAAAGGCCCTGGCCCTCACCGACAAGTCCGGCCGCACGGCCCTCGACGATGCATTCAAAGTGGATCATGATAATGCTGAGATGGTGCAACTGCTGGCCCCGGAGTCTTGCTTTGACGCCCACCTTCCGATTCTTGGATGATGTGCTTGGTCCTCTGTAAACCGCCCCCGACGATGCGTTGAGAGGCCTAGGCAGGATGCGTCGAGCGCACGCAGAGACCTACCTGCCACCGGCACACTCCATCATCCGACGGTGAGGAGAACTCTTCTAGGAGCAATGGATACTGGATCTAGGCGCAACGGATAGTGAAGATCGGCTGCTCTGTGAACATCCCATATACGTCTTCTGAGCGTGTGACTCTGCAGTCGGCAAAAATGGACGTGGGCTATGCGCGAATGAAGCTGGAAGTCCAGTGAACTCTACACTTTAAGGTTTACGGTTTAGGGTTTAGGGTATAGTTAGGGTTTACGCTAAGGCTCAAAATAGCCCCAAACCCTTGCAAAGCATGAGGTCTTAAATCCGACCCCATCCCTTGCAACCTCAAGCGGCCGCGTCAATCTTCCAGTGCATGATTCTCAGGCGGCGGCATTTCGCTGCGACCTGGGGGTGGTATGGGCTTGAGGCTGGACTTGTGCAGTCAGAGAGAGCCAGAGAGAGAGAGCGAAAGAGGGGGAGACGCCAAACAACTAATGAGAGCGATGAAGTACACTGCTCGTACCTAGAATTGTCCCTAAACCCTAAACCCTAAAGCCAAACCCTAAACCCCAGCTACTTATCAGGAGACTTAAATATCGGCAGTACGCCAGCACCCAGAAACCCGGGCAGCCCACTCGGAGTGACGATGTTCGGATCTGGCCCAGCTAGGAATAAAGGCTCTTCAGGTCAAAGACCAGCAGCTCAGGTTTAGGGTTTGTAGGTCCAGGGTTAAGGGTTTAGGGTTTAGGGCTTAGGCTCAGTTGGAAACTGCCTTTGGAGCTCAGGTTAATCATTCAAGCGCGAGTGATACAGGGCAACTGCGATGTCATATCCAACTGCCTCGTACATCCGCTGGGTGGTGACATCACCTTCAGACCCCTTACTCACTAGACCTTTTGTTGAGAAATCTCTAAAGCCTAAACGAACGCCTAAACCCTAAACCCTAAACCTGAGTGCAATCCCTTGAGCCGCAGAAGAGTTCGTTTCAACGTATTACAGAAAGCCCCCGAGAGTGAGCGAGAGAGTGGCAGTCCTTAGAAGCCAGAAGCTTGATACTTCAGGGTTTAGGGATTTAGGGGTTGGAGTTTGAGGGTTTAGGGTCTAGGGTCAAAGGTTCAGGGATGTAGGGGTTTAGGGTTTAAGGCTTTAAGGGTTCAGGGTATGCCTAGACCCAGAGGTCAGACCCTACCCGATCTTTGGCACCCTAAGGATCCATGTATCAAAACAGTACCCTTACCCTGAAGGGACTCATATTTTAAGGCTGTTGGGCCTAAAGACGCCATTTTGTAAGGCTTTTGGGCTATTTTGATGCTAAGGGGTATATACTTCAGTCTTACAAGGAGTCCCTGCATTAGGCGCTGTCGGGACAAAGTATATGCTCTTTGGGTGCACGGGCCCTTATAGGCGTTTTTGGTTCTGTTTGTGGTCTACCTATAGTCTCCATTGTAGTTTCTTTTTTTGGGGGGTTAATTAACCAAATTCATACTATGGGATCCTAACCATAAAATTGGTTAACCCAAAGAAAGGAAGGAACTACAATGGAGGCTGTAGGTATTTCATAATGGCGAAGGCGGAAACCCAAGACTCCCGAAGTCACAATGCTCAAGCCCCAAACTCCCAAGCCTTCAACCGGTTGCATCTAGGCTTTCTCTCCTATAATTCAAGGAGTCCGTCCAGATCCCCTTTCTCTTCTGGCCCACCGCCCACCCTGAACCGTAAAGAAGGCAAAACCCGAGCATACTTCCACGAGAACTGCAGACCCGAAATCCTCAACCGCTTAAGCCCTGAACCCTCATAACGCAAGGTTTATAGGATTCAGGGTTTATGAGCCCCCTTAAACCCTAAACCTTCCTAAACCATGAAACCTTGAACGCAGGCCAGGAGGCGGTGGTATTAGCTTGACTGGTGGCCTCAATGGGCAGACACTCCGCCCAGGAGGAGGAGGCACACCATTTGAAGCTTCGCTGGTTAGGTCGTAGGGTGTCGGGGGTTGAGGGTTGCCGGTCAACAGCGTTCATGTAGGATCTCGGTTTGAGGATTTGGAGCTTAGTGCTTGAGGTTGTACGAACATTCCCAAGACTCCCCGAGCACTTGTATAGTGTACCGTGGATGTTAATGACTTCCCTGTGGTAGCAAGTGCAAGGATGTACTACACAGAGAGCGCATGGCGTAAGCTTTAAATTTATGTAATATAAGTCTGGGAAAGGTTGTGGGAGCTTCGCAGCTTTGGAAGCACTTTCGAGCTATCTCGCATACTAAACCCCAAACCCGGAACCCTAAACCCTTGACTCTGAGCCCGAGCCATCAACCCCGCGACCCTAAACGCTGAACCTGAAAACGGAGCCCAAACCCATGGTTAGAATTAGGGTCCCTTTCTAGGTCCCAGAACTTGTATGGAGCAAGACGGCCCCCCAAAAGGGACCCTAATTTTGGGGTCGGGGTAGGATGGAGGGTTTAGGTTGAGCGGCTTAGGTGTGTCGGAGGCCAAGTTCTGGGTGTAACAATCCAAGACTACACCCTAAACCCTAAATCAACATGATTTCAGAGGATACAGTCTCGCTAGAGCAGCCCATTTACCGGGTCCAAGCAGTTTAATTTAAGTCGCCAGAATAGTGATCCATAGTAAATAATATGGTTTCCTTATTATAGCAACGTATTTTAAATCCCTTAATCAGAACCCAGTTTAAGCCGGGAGAACAATACGCGTTCTCATCATGAGGACGACGGCAGCATGACAGCTTGACCGGTACATGCAATGTAAACCTACATATTCAATGATTATGTCTATTTTCTGTTTTATGCACAGTCCAGATACATAATATGTTCTCCTAGGTAGTTTGATTGTAGTTATAGAGCCCATGGTTCGAAGAATTTCCGATTCAGGAATACATACCTTGATGTAAAGAGGGAAAAATGCTATTGGTTATAAGGTTTACAAGACTTTACAATCCTTGGCTAACCCTTTGTGCGCCGTGGTAGATACTTTTTTCCTACAGTGCCTATGTAGCTTAAAAAGGAAGGAAACCCATTCAGGTGTTGGTATAAACTCTTTGGGCACATGGATCCTTAGAGCAAGGGGTACCGGGTTCCCCGAGTGAGTCAGAGACTCAGAGTGGGGTGCACAGCTTGCTGGGGTTACTATAACCCCTATATATACTCCCGAAGGATAACCTTGTGTGGCTGTAGGGTACTACAATCCCAAGGTTATCCTAAGGTTGCTGTAGACCCTAAACCCTAAACCCTTTAGGATAACCTTGAGCTGCTGTATTGAGACGCTTGCTCTTGCCCTATCGCAGGCGCAGTTTCTTTGACCGGGTCGGTGAAAGAATCGCTCTGGCCTTAAATCACTTCCGCGATGCCTGTCCCAAGCGCCAAGTGCGTCAATTACCTGAACAGTATGTCTCTGTGTGAACATATGTGTGTGTGTACATATATATATATATGTACGTGTGCATGCATGCATGCATGCATGCATGCATGCATGCATGCATGCATGTATGTATGCATGCCGCAGCATGCATGTATGTGTGCATGTATGTATGTACGCATGTACATGTGTATATATATATATAGTTACACATATGCGTATGGCTGCATGCGTGTATGTATACATCTGTCAGGTCTTCTGTGAACAACCCAGCAAGCCATTGTTTAGGAAACTGAAGCCCTATTAAGGCGGAAACTGTGAAGAAAAAGCCCAGGTGGTACCCGTAAGGGCCCATGCGCTCATGTAGTGTGTATGTGCGTGTGTGTGTATATATATATATATTTATTCATTTATTTATTTATTTATATATGTGATATGTCGGCCTTATGAGTTATACAGGTATTTTAGGGCGGAAGTATATACTATTTGGGGCACATGGGCCCTTAGGGTAGGATCAGGCTTACATATGCAATCAGAAAGGCGCCCCTTCGTTTTAGGGAATCTTTGGTTCTTTTTTCGCTAGACCCTGAACCCTAAGCAACTAAACCCTAAACTCTAAACCCTACGCCCTAAACCCCTAAACCCTAAACTCTAAACCCTAAACCCTAAACCCCTAAACCCTAAACTCTAAACCCTAAACCCCTAAACCCTAAACTCTAAACCCTAAGCTCTAGGCCCTAAACCGTCCGATGGCAGCCCTGACCTTGTCAGGCCCCACAGCATCAGAATCCTGAACCCTCAAAAACGCCCTCAAAAATCAGCTCTCTAAACTAGTGCCTTCTGTAACTTAACCAAAAACCCTGAGACTTCAGCATAGCCCGATGTAGGTACTATTTGTAGACTTTAGGGCTCGTCCACAGATGCAGGTCTGGGAGACTTGGGCAAGCAATCATTCATGTCATCCCCTCGAGACTGTAGAAAACCCTAAACCCTCGACCCCAAAGTAGGTACACTGTTGATGATTTTAATCCTGCATTACCTAAGACTATGGGAATTATGGTATGCTCCTTATTAGGGGTAATGCAGGGTTTATATCATCAGCCGTATTTGTTTACCTTAAGTCTTAGGGAAACCCTGCCCAAGGATCCTGAGCCCTGATGTTGGACACTTGCGAATGGCCGAGGTCCGGCACAGCTGGGTACCCAAAGGAGGAGGCCTTGGCCGATTGCTTTGGCTTCGGGTTGCAGGGTGTGAGCCTCAGGTTTAGGGTATAGGGAGCTATCAGAAAATCCTCGAACCTCCCACTCCGATATTTCCCTAAACTTCTAAACGCGCCCTCCTCGAACATTAGGACTTCGACCGTTCACGCCACGGGGTACCACGTGAGCAGAATCCAGTTTCTGGGCTTTCTTCGTGTCACTGCATAATATAGCGGCATTGACAGTCAGACGAGGGTTTAGGGTTCGGGTTGAGGGTTTAGGGGTTAAGGGTTTCGGGTTTAGGGATGTGGGTTGTGGGCTGCGGGGTTTAGGGTTTCGGGTTGAGGGTTCAGGGGTTTCAATAAGGAGCCCTAAACCTAAGGGTCCATGTACCCCAAAAGTAGATATGTTGGCGCGAAGTGCTTATATAGCGACTACTTTTATATGGCAGATTCATATATTCCATGTGTACATGGACCCTTCGAGTAAGGAATACTGTTAGTAGTTGTGTGGGATTCTACGTTGTGCTATCACGACGGAGTTATGCCCACAAAGACCATCAATGTCAGCGGGCTCTTGTCAAGGAGCTTATTCTTTAGGGTGAGTGTCAGAAGGAAGCTATATAATTATTTGCTGTAGGTGCTTCATGTTGCAATAAAACAAGGGTTTCGACAAGACCTCAGTTTAGGGGACCTATTTCCGAAATGAAAGCAGAAGTGGACCCAGAGGGCTTCCCCTCTGCGATACCCTAACCCCCAAACCCTAAACCCTGTTTTTCAGGATCCCAAAACTCCCCCCCTAAGCCCTTGTGTTCCAAGACTTCCACATGTTTACCGTGCTGCCTGAGAGGCCAGAGGATTTTGTGTAGGAGCACACGCAGAAACGTCGGGCGGATCATCGAACTGGCTAAGGCTAAGATACCGCAGAATGGTTAGACCCCCCGATATAGCGCAAGTTCTAATGCAAGGTGGAGGCATACCGGGCTCTATGGGCTATACTACTCGGAGTTTCATGGGCAGTTCGAAGTGGGATTATAATTAGGGTCACTATACTTTGAACCCATGTTCAGGGACTTATAACCCTACTTATAACTACCCAATGAACCTCCAAGTGCCGGAGCTTCAATGGGTTTAGGAGTTCAGGATCTGGATCCCTGGGTTTCCGTAGATGATGCCCGAAACCCTAAACCCTACACCCGAAACCCATGTTGCTTCTGCCGCAGGGCAAGCGATCCTCAGCAAATTCCGGCGGGAAGGACTCAGCTGCAGTTTAGGGTCGAGAAGAAACACACCCAGGACTCTAAAAACTTTAAGCCCCAGAAACACCCAAGACTCTAAACTTTACGCCGGGTTTCAGGGTTGAGGGTTTAGGATTGAGGGTAAACACCCAAGACTCTAAACCCTAAGCCAGGTTTCAGGGGCAGCGTTCCTTTAAGGGTTCTTTAGATTTAAGCAGGGTTTAGGGGTACCTATATGGGAGATACTTACCCAAGCCATGATAGCAGTTCCCACTACAGAACTTCTGCCTTGTAGGGAAGAGGTACTTAAAGCCTTTTGGGTCTATTATAAGGCCCTTTTACCTTTCGCTGCAGCCTCGACCATGAACCGTCCCATGGAGACCATTAAGGCGAACCTCTCATATTGAAGGACAGAGCTGCAGATGGTTTCGAATGTTTAGGAGGTTGAGCAAGGAGGGTTTATGGCCAGGTAGATCCTACCCAAACCCTTGAAGGTAGCACCCTTTACTGGATGACTCTTTTCGGCTAGGATCCTGTAGTAAGAAACTGAGCCAAACCAAAGAAAGGTACTATGCACCCCAGCCCTAAACCCTAAAACCCTAAAAGCCCTACACCCCAAAACCCTAAAAGCCCTAAAAACCCTAAACCCTAAAACCCTAAAGCCCTAAAACCTAAACTGACTACATTGACGGGTCGAGGTAGACTCCATATCCTCGACCCCGAACCTGGCGAGCCTGAAGTACTAAATCATAGAGCTTCAGGGTCTAAGGTGTAGGGTTTAGGATTTAGGGTTTATTGGGGTTTAGGGTTGAGGGTTTAGGGTCTAAGGTGTAGGGTTTAGGATTTAGGGTTTATAAGGGTTTAGGGTCTAAGGTGTAGGGTTCAGGATTTAGGGTTTATAAGGGTTTAGGGTCTAAGGTTTAGGGCTTAGGATTTAGGGTTTATTCTGGTTTGGGGTTTAGGGTTTAGGGCAGACCATGACCCACAGTCGTCAGCAGAACCCGACTCCACAAACCAAGATGTTTCAGATTCGGTGTTGTGGGGAGTTTCGGCCGCAACGTATGGTAATCTTAAGATGACAGGGGCTTTTAGGGCATGGTTTAAAGTTTAGCTCGTTTTTTGAGGTTCGGGGCTTCGGTTTTGGCCTTCTTGCATGTTTTCGCAGAAATCAATCTCGACACCAGAGCCGGTGATACGATGACAGCGGAGGGCGGGTTTAGGGTTTAGGATTTGTGGTTTAGGGGTTTACGGCTTAGGGTGTAGAGTCCCAGTTTTCTGAACTGTCATATGTCAAAGCTACTGGGCTTCTCATCTCCACATCTCCAGCAGTGGCATACCCCGTTGAGCTTGGCCCTAAACCCTAAACCCTAAACCCAAAACCCTAAACCCTAAACCGTATAGAGTAGGGCGAAAAGGTGTCATCAGGTGTAGTAGGGGCCCGGGCGCTTCAGTTTCCGGGGTGCCGTAAGCCTCCAGCGCTTAAACCCCTAAACCCTAAACACTAAACACGTTAAACCCTAAAAGCCATAAACCCCTTAAAAACCCTAAACCCTAAACCCTGACAAGGAGTCTGACTGGCGAAGGGACGCGGCAGAGCACCAAGATGCAAAGCAGCGCCTCTCCTGAAACAGTGATTTCCACGTGGGTGAAGACCAGGATGACTCTTCGCGCTGCTTGCAATCATAATACTTTTAACCCTGAACTCATAGGGTTTAGGGTTTAGGGTTTATCTAAACTTTACATGAACCGTAAACCGTGTTAGAGTCAAAACGACCTGGCTAGGGCCTGTTGATGATGACCATCATCGTCATCACCATGATCATGCTTCTGGTCATAATCATGACCATCGTGACTTCGATGATGGCGACTGTGTCGAAGTCGATGCAGTCCATGAAGTGGATCGCGACATCGCTGACGATGCTGGTATTGATGACGGCCTGTCGTAAAGAAAAGTGTTGTGGTCACTGTTTCGACCATTCTCTGTTGCAGATACCCTGAGTACTTCTCCATGATTTCTCCATTTGTGTTGGTCTGAATCTGGAGCACGCGCCGGAGCGGCATTTCACGACTGTTCCGCATCAGACAAATGCTGCGCTTCGGTCTCCGTCGGCCTGTTCCTCTTGCCTTGCATGGGGTTTTGTCCTTGGATGCCTATGCTAAACGGGCTCTGCTGGCCTCTGAAGACCACTGTTTCTATGGATTTTGAACTCTAAAGTCAAAAAAGTCCTTGGCCCCTGAACCAAGGATTTATCTAGTTCTTTCCGATGTTCAGATTCCGTCGGATGCATTTTGAAGCCTAGGAAGAAGGCCTCCGAAAAGTCAGGCCGGTCACTCAGTCCTGTCTTCAGGTCGTGTTGGTTGAGGGTTCAGGGTTGAGGGTTGAGGGCTTAGGGTTTAGAGTTAGGTTGGAGTACAGGTCTTGGATGCTGGGGGTTTCGGGCATTCGGGCCAGCCGCTCGGTCTTTTTGCTTACCTGCCTGGGCTGGTTGACGTTGTCTTTAGGGCTATTGTAGCCAGATTCAAAATGTAGTCTAGACTCTGCAGGGACTACTGGCCCCTAAAGCCTAACCATAAGCACTAAACCCCTGAAGCCTCACCCCTTAACCCTAAACCCTAAAGCCTAGACCTGCCTTTAAGCCCGGAAAACTGAAACCTCGGAAACCCTAAACCCTAAACCCTGCCCTAACCCAAATGACTTACCTTTTTAAGGATTCATCTAGAGAAATCATAGTAAGGAACCCTTAAAAGGCGGGTTCTTTGGGGTCCAGGCAAAGCCTAAGCCATCCCACAGAGTCCCAGTGTCTGAGACGTTCACATGCCTGGAGTCTCGTGACGGAGCTTAGGTCAGGTTACCAGAATTACCAGAATAGGAGTCTACAGCAGGATTTAGGATAAGGGTTCCGGGGCTTAGGGTGTAGGGTCTATAGTATATACATGAAGGGGTTTCCTTCTTGTCAGGAACTTAGTTCAGGTTGCCAGGGATCGAAAGTATATAGTAGGGTTTCCATATCATTCTTGTAACTTAACTGGTTACATGAAGTTCCTGAACACGAGCCGTGTCTGCAGGTGGCAAGAAAGGTTCCAACGGAAAGCACACCCGGCCTGTTTTGTGGAACAGGAAGGGTTTGGGGGTTTTACCCATAGGCCCCTAAGTAGTTCCTTTTTATGGTTTATATTTAGAACCCTATAAGGTAATCCCGAAAAGGAACTACTTAGGGGCCTATCGGTATGTTAAAGCCTCTGAAGAGCCTTCGAACTTTTGCGGTGTTGGGGTTTGAAGCATAAAGCGGAGAGATCGGGTTTTGGGACGCGGAATAGAACCGCACCAGAACTATATGTGGAGGATGGGGAGAGGAAGGTGAGCATTCCAGTTGCATTTTCAATTGCTTTTGCCAGGACTCGTCTAACCACCCGACAGGGCCTCATGCTCTCAAACTCGACTTGAAGCTTGCCTTTGCAACTGGTCTTTGCATGCCTGAAACGCAAGCCTGTCCACACTATCAACGTCGAAGCCCAATGCTGTCCCCTTACTCCAAGACCTCCCGACCTTGAACGACAAACGATGCACTGAAAGCTCCACACTTCGCTAGACCCGATCTCGCGACTCGGGTCTACTCGAGATGTATGCCCAGCTACTTGTAGTATATACCTTGGCCTTAACGTACCCATTGAAGGCCAAAGCATCTGTAGGAGCAGGCCATCAGTTCTTGATGAGGGTTCCTGTACGGTGGCCTTGGGGCAACTTACGGCAGCTATATTAAGGTGCCCGAAGCAATCCTAGTCTAACCATTAATGAACCTAGACGACTTTCTCACTGCCGAATAATACGCCGAGCACAGGGTTCGGAAATAGCTATTCCACAGGGCTCCTTATCAAAGCTCTTCGGTGAATATGAAAGTTGAATATGAATACTTCAAAACCCCACTGTAGCACAAAATTCTACCCCAAACCCTAAACTCCTTTTCCCCAAACCCTATTGTAACGATGAAGGCCCTGTTGTTCAGGAATTTAGTTTGAGTTACCATGACAAGCAAACCAGATTATCCAGCATGGTAACTTGAACTTTTAGACCTTCAACCCCAAACCTAAACCCTAAACCCATAGTTACATCCCTACCCCTAAGCCCTACACCCTGAACCCTGAACCCTAACAAACTCCAGTAAACCAATCGCCACCTTCACAGGAGCCCTCTGAGACTCCAATCAAAAAGGTCCCTGGAGCCCTCCCAACTTTGCAGCTGAGAACGGAAAGGGAGGGATTAGGGCTTTAGGGCTTTAAGGGTTTAGGGTTTAGGGTTTAGGTAAAGGGGTCGGAGACATCAGTCGTGCTATTTCCGTGAGTAGCTGAGTAGGCAACCTTGAACCTTATCGGGTTGATATGTTCAGTTGACAAGGTCATGCTTGCTTGCAGCGGCTGGGGTACCTCAGCCCCTCAGCTCCTGATGGTCTGTAAGAAGATATGTTGGTTATTTGTATGATTTTTGTTACTGCTAGTGTTGTTGTTATTGTTGGTATTTGTTCCCCCGCCCTCCTATGGTAATCCCTGAAGCCCCACACCTTGAACTCCCAACTCCGAACTTTTCCACGCATGGCCCTGAATCCTACGACTGTTTCAATCCACGACCTAGACCACTACCCTCCAGTTAACACCAAGGCCCGGAAAAGTGCATCCAATACTGCCTTTCTAGTGCCAAAGTATGTACTACAAGAGAACATGGACCCTTGGATTCAGGGTTTATAACCCCTAAACCCTAAACCCTACAGGGTTACTACAAGGGAAGGGTTATGAGCCGAACCCAAACCCTACTCCCCTGAGCTCCCAAGTTGTAGAAGCCTTAATAGAAGGATCCTGACGGCCAGGATCCCCGATGAAGGGACCTCTCACTTCAAGAAACCCTATACAGGGTTTAATTAGTGTTTAGCGGTTTAGGGGTTTAGGGGTTTAGGGTTTAGGTTTGATAGGGTTTAACCCTCCAAATCCGGATACCATGAAGCTTTATCAAGCCACCTAGGACATGTAGAAGACTATCAGGCTAAGGAAACCTAAAAATTGAAGGGTCTTCTGGGTTTAGGCCCGGTTTAGGCACAAAGGCTAAGCTGCACGTCCTCCTCTTGCCACGATGACATATAGAATATGTTTTGGAACCCGTTTAAGTAGAAGCCCTGTCAGAAACACCCCTTGTGGTGTATTTGGCGTCCTTCTGGGACCCCTAAACCCTAAACCCCTAAACGCCCCTGTGGCAGGTCCGGCGGGCGAGGTGCCGAACGACCCTTCATCAATGGGGGAATGGGGCTTCTTTGTGGACTCCATGTAGGGCCTGGTACAGGGCCTCGTCAGGGATCTATGTGAGGCTTGCCTTTTTTGCATTTTTGTCGGTGTATTTGATCAGATGTTTGGTTGTGGTTTCTACCCATAGCACCCCTAGGAGAGACGACACGCGGCACCATCTCCGATACCAGTACTCGAAAGGACCCCCAGCAATTAGGCAAAGGCTGAAGGTCCCTGCAAGACTCCAAGGCGTACTGTGCAGCGTCGCGACCTGAAGGGTGATGTATTCCTCTATGGTATGTATGGCTTTGTGTTCTCCGTAGTTGCCTTAGACCCTAAACCCCTAAACCCTAAACCCCTGAGTTAGAACACAGAGTTTGTCTAAGGCATCATAGGTTTAAGAAGCCCAGACACGAAACCCTAAACCCTAAGCCTGAACAGGTCGGAATAACCGAGATGACGACGACGACCTCGATGCTGAGCCGATCCAGCTTCCCAGATGCACGCTTAAGGTTTAGGAGTTTAGGGTTTAGGGGTTTAGTGTATGGGGTTCAGGGTTTAGGAGCTTAGCAGAAGAGAATTTCTTTTGAGTGCCGGCTCCTGAAACTGGTGGCCAACGGCATCTGGTTCTTTCTTGAACCCTAACCGCCCAACAACCTGAACGTTGCTGCGCCATTGCATATCTGATGCACGAAGACTGGAGGACGGTATATGTAGGGGCAGAGACCAGCCAGCGCACCAGCATCCAAGTTCCTACATGTTATCATTATGTCCTTGCTATCGGCACTCTCAACGCAACTACCTACATATATATATATACATACATACATACATATATACATACATACAGCTAGCAAGTTAGTTAGTTAGTTGTATGTGTATATATAATATACAGATAGATAGCTCAAAGTCTCAAAAACTGCCGCTCGGGACCTCACATCGTAGGTCTCGCAGGTCGACCTCCCCCGCGATTCCCGAAACGGTTCCTGGCACCCTTCCATTCAACTTGGCTTTCGTTGTAGAAGGCTTGTGGGTAGTTCTCTAAAATAGGGTGCCTTTTGGGGTCCTTTTTGTATGAGTGCCGTACTATATTGGGGACCTAAATTGGGTTCTAATCTAGAAAACTACCCATGTCGCAAACCCTAAACCCTAAATACCCTAAACCTTTGGCTCAAGGTTTCGGCTCAAGGGTCAAGGCTCAAGGTGGGGCGCGGTGTGCATGTCCTCGGCGGCTGTGTGGACTAGGGGCTCTTCTCGTTGATTCAGAGGCTCTCCTTGGAGGTGTGCGGGAGCTCGCGCCCGCGGTACTCGCCCTTTACCCGATTCTCCGGTTCTTCATCCCGTGCCTGCGACGATGGCTGGGGCCAATAAGCAAAGGGTCCAGCTTGGGGGCAACCCCGCGCTGGTGCCGGTGCCACTGGAGGATGGAGACGGCGAGGATGACCTTGTGTTGTCTCCCACTAGAAAGCGTGGCGGAGAGGCACCTGCGGAGGCGCACCGTGGAGGGAAGAGGGAGAAAGGTGGTGGGCCTGGAGAGTCGGTCACCATTGATGTGGCCAGTCTACGGAACCTTTTGCGGGAACAAAGTGACGAACTCATGGGCCGCCAGAAACACCAGTTGGACACGGCGATCGCGGAGCTGGAGGCACGGGCCTTTGGCAGGGTGGCTGACCTACAGGACCAGGTCAACGACCTCGAGGGCAAGACTTCCGTCTTCCAGGATAAGCTGGAGGCTCTTGAGAAAGGGCTTCAGGATCTCACTAGCTTGGTACAAAGTCGACCCCTGGGCGGGCCTGCGGGGTCCTCAGGGGATGGAGACCTGGAGGAAAAAAGGAAGTGCACGCTGGTGGTGGGTGGATGGCCCAAAGACTCCCGGCGCAAGGACGTCCTGAAGGATCTCTCGGAAGCTATGGAAGCATTGAAGATCTCCTCCCAGATCGATGCCCCTCCCTTTTGCACTGGACCACGTCGGAGCGTGGCACTGGTACATATGCCCAGGCGAGCTCAAGAAAGCGACCAAGGCCATCGGAACCGCATGTTCGGCGTGGTGCAGGCCTTTGCGGGCTCGGAGGTAGTCGCCCGTGGCGGCTCAAGGCTTTGGTGCTCCTTTTCCAAGACCCCTGAGCAGAGAGCGATCTCAGGGCATGCTTCACTCATTAAGCGGATCATTACAGGGTTCGGCAAGATGGAGCCTGAGCTTCTGGATGTGGAATGGAAAACAGGGTCGGTATGGTGTGACGAAGGGCTCATCGGCAGCGCGTGCCTCCCGTGCCCGCCGGGAACAGACATGCGTGGAGTCTCTGTCTTTGAGGACACGCCGAGGAAGCACTGGCTCGACCTGAACCTCCTGGCCAAGATCTGTGGGGTTAACAAGGCATCGGTTAGCAAAGCAGTCGAAGAGCAGAGACACTGACCGGAGCTAAGGGCCTCTACAGTTGAGGGCTCGTCGCCGAATGGCGATTTTTTGGGCCCCTCACCGGTTTGCTCGGCACAACGCCATCACAGTCAAGATGATCAGTGTACAGCGGTGTGTGGAGCCACTTTTGAATTCAGGGTTTACGGTTGGAACGTTGGCGGAAGCGATGTTACTGACCTGCAAAAGTATCTCCGTGAAGGATGTGGCAAGGCCATTTTGGCTGATTCAATTCTTACGCTTCAAGAGCTTCCGCGCGGGAAAGTGGGATGGTCCAAGCTTCCGTGTGGAGAGTGGAGTGCTCTATGTCACAGGGGTGAGCAAATGTGGAGAGGTACAGCGGTTGCCTACAGAGAAACAGAATGGACATTGTTGAAGAGGGTGAGAGCAGGCAAAGGGATTTGGGTTCAACTCAGACATCTCCGTCATGGGGTCAAGCTCTGGGTTGGGACGGCGCACTTCACCCCGGGGTGTACCCTCGCCCAGTATGAAACGGAGGTGGAGAATGTCATGACCTCGTTCCCTGCTGTTGGAGGGCCGGCAGTGTTCCAGTGTGATGCCAATGAATGCACCCTTCCTGTGGAGGGCTTGTGACGGGGTTGAGCAAGCAGTGGGGAGGGACGTCAAAGCCAACGAACTTCAAGGCCGTCTCCTTGAGCGAGGCTTTCAGTTGACCCCCCCGAAACCCGACCAATTCAGTACTCCCACAAGTCGACCCAGACAGGCGGGCAGAGGAGGGAACATTATTGATGTGCTCGCTTGCAGGAGAATGGTTCGGGGCTCCATTGCCGTACATGTGGATTCGTGTTATGTGGCGGGTACTGATCATGAAATCTTGGAGGGGACCTTCTACCTTCGACCTCGTCAGAAGCATGTTCGGCATCCCACCAAACCACGGGTCTGGACAGGAGGGGTTAACAAGGTGGCCTATGTGGACCAGTCGGTGCTGGAGGACCTTGCTCGAACTTGCACGAAACCGAAACCCGGGAATGCATATCGCGACCCCCCCGAGGTCAAGAAGCAGTCCGCAGAGCACGGCTCCACAAAACGCAGGCTGCATGGAGTGAGGTGAGACGACTTCGAAAGGTAGCTAGACGACAATGGGAATCCGACAGGGTGCTTCGCGCCACGCAGGGGGATTGGGCTGCCTTCAGGGGTTGCAAGGTACTGGCTGGGACTGGTTGGATCGAGGGCTTTGCCGAGGCACAGACGGAAGACCCTCATGACGTTGTGCATGCCCATCTTACACAGGTGTACAAGGGCATACCGCCGGATCCAAATCCGTCGCCTTACGGTGGGCAGGTGCTGGCTTTCACAGAAGAGGAGTTGGATACAGCACTGGGGCAGATGCAGTCAGGGAAATCAGTGGGGTGTGATGGCACTAGCAAAGAGTTGCTGGTGGGCTTGGTAGAAGTGGAAGGGGGCAAACAGCACCTGCTTGAGTTTCTCAGTCGGGTTTTGACAACGCAAGAGATCCCGTCGCAATGGAACACACCCCTGATGGTTCTGCTTCCCAAGTTGTCTCAGCCTTTGTGCCCGCGTGATCTGAGACCAATATCCATGGGATCAGGAGTGAGTAAGCTTTTCTCTCGCCTCCTTCTGAACCGTTGTGCTCGTGCGCTGTCCTTCTCTACCCATAGCCAATGCGCTGGTCCAGGCCGTCAGACTTCTGACTATCTCTTTGCCTCCTGGAGGTTGGTCGAACTAGAACGTGAATGGCACCGAGGCTTATGCGCTGCTAAACTGGATATCACTAAGGCCTTCGACATGGTTTCGCGTGAACGTGTGTTGGAAAAACTTCAGGAGAGGCTTGGGGACACGGCGGAAATGAGATGCTGGCGAGGGTTGCTTCAGCAGAACCAGGGCGTCCTTCAAACACCATGGGGCACATCCAGGGTTTGCATGCAGCGGGGAATAAAACAAGGCGCTGTTGAGAGCCCCATTCTCTTTGCCCTTGTGGCAGAAATGTGCCTGGCTGAGGCCTCTAGCCGGTACCAATGGCTCAAGGAGGAACAGGTTTTCCAGGGCCTTGAATTCCGTGACATGCTCTATATGGACGATTGCCTGTTTTGGGGGCGCGGGGTTGAAGGCCTGGAACGGCGTATCAAGCAGTTTGCTGTCGTCCTGTCCGAATACGGGCTGGCTCTCAACGGGAAGAAGTGCCAACTTTACACGTCCCCATATTGGCATGGTCCCACTCATATCCGTATCTGTGGTGTGCAAGTGCAGGCCTCGGACTCCCTGGAAATTATGGGCATCGGGATGAGGGTTGGCATGAGCCTCTGCGAACTCATCGGGCCGCTGCTTGCCAGGGCTAAAGCCAAATTCTGGGCGAACAAGCATCTGTTCAGATCGCATGGCCCCTTGAAGGATCGTCTCAGGCTCCTGGAGCGGATCGCCGGGGGTGCTGTTATGTGGTGCCTGGGGGCCTTTCCGCCGGATCGCAGTTCTCTTGGCCTTATCAACGCGTGTCACTTTCAGCTGGTGGTCTGGACTCTAAAGCTCGGTAAACGGTCTGCTGAATCATGGGAGTCATTCCATAAACGATCGTATCGGTCAGCGCGAGCCGTTATCCA